ACTTTATCCTTCTAAGAAGCAATGCTATGAAGGAGGGGTATTATTTTCTCCATTTCTGTTCCTCCTTTTTTTTTAAGCTTTATTGACATATAATTGATACAAACCCTGCACACATTTAAAGTACGCAACTTAATGTTTGGACAGATGCATATAGCTGACATACTAGTGCCACAATCAAAGTACTAAACATATCCATCACCTCCAAGAAATTTTCTCGTGACCTTTTGTGGGTTTTTTGTTGTTGTTGTTGTTTGTGGTAAGAATACTTAACATGAGATCTATTTCCTAAAAATATTTTAAAGTGTACAATACCAGATTGTATTAGGTACTACGTTGGACAATATTTTCTCCGTGTCACTGGTGAAGAATGGATGTGCAGAGAGGTGAAGCCACCTGCCACACTTTACCCAGCAGTTTAGTAGCAGGACATGGAGTCACACTTCACTAGCCCCATGTGTAAACCATGCTGGAAGTGTGTTCTGCTGAGCTGAGCATTATTCAATTCTTGATTGCTTTAATTCAGGGGAAGTGAATTGTGTTTTTCTCTAACACGTATAAAATAATCATGTAATATTCATCAAGATTCTTGCTAACTTATAAAATGTTGATTCTCTCCCAGACTCTAAATATAGCCTATTTGAAAGTTTTGAAAACATTTTTCTCAAAGATTTTTCCAAATGAGACTGAGGTTGGCAGTCCACACAATTATCATTGTGATTTTTGCTCAGTCTAATCCTGTGTTTGTTTTCTGTGAGAAGACAGATTAGAGAGATGAAACTACGGATAAACTGAAGCGATAGTCTACAGGGAAATATAGCTGACATTTTATTGTAAACTTTTAGCTTTAGAATTTTCCAGAATTAGAAATGCAGAACCAAAAGTCTTGTTCCGTTTTCATCATTCTGATTTTTTTCATTTATGTAAATTTAAAATTTTTTGACTTAATCTTAAAATACCTTTGAAAATAATAGGACCTCGATACATGTTCATGTCCTCATGCCTTCCTCTAAAATTTTGCTAATGGTATCCAAGTTTAGTATATGCGGTTGGTACCGTGTGTCATATTAAATTCAAGAATAATATACATAACATAGTTCTAGCAAAAATGTATGTTTTCTAACTCAGGTGACAGATAGATAATGTATGAGTTCAGTGTTCTGGTTCTGACTCTGCTGTTGTAGTAAGATATATATGTTTTCTTAAATATCTTTATCATTTATTTATCAGTCCATTTACAAGATAGTGATATAAAGACCATCTATTTCTTCAATCGTGAGGAAGTGGGAAAGGGATAAATGAAACCAGTCCAAATCCTTCCCGTAGATTTACAGTTGACATGTGGTGCGGTGGTGAGAGCATTTGAGAAGGCTGACATATGTCACTGTTTCTCTGATTTGACCAAGGGGGCGAAGGGCAATAATGGCAAGAAGGAGATGACTGAGTGTGCTTACATGGAATCCTCTGTGGCCAACTCTTGGCCGTCTCCCATCCTTGATTGCTGGCCTTCCTTTACAATCGGCAGAAGAAAATTTAAGCAGACATTAAAAAACACTCACTGTGGCTAGACTATATATTCCGACAGATACAGAGCTATTACTATATCCACTCGAAATTCAAACAAACACATGGTTAATTAAACAAGCTGTAATTTCTTAGCTAATTGTTAGAAAAAGGCCTCCTCTCTCCCCTTGTTCTCTGCTCTGCTTGTGGGCTGAGTTTCTTGTGCAGGGTTCCGACCCATAGGAGAGGGTTTCTGCTAAGAGAGAGAGTGCATCACATTGATGAGCTCTCAGATGCTGCACCAGATTGCTTTGTCTGAGTTCTTCACTCTGTCTTTTTTTTTCCAATATGACAGTTTTAAGTATGTATGTTTGAAGTATTTAACACTTTTCCCCAATATGTTTCCTACGTTTGCAAAATATACTATATTAGGCACTTCCATGTTGAATAGCTTATTGTGGTTGGAAAAGTCCAAGGGAATTTTGCCCTTTTCATTTCCACTTCTCCTCTGTCCTCACTATTCTCTGCTTATCTTCATCTGTCTTGACAAAGAGTTTAACTTTCATCTCCTGTTGGCTTTATCTATTACTCTAGATTCTGGGAAGTGAGTTAACCTCACCATCTTCAGTTCCTCATCCCTCAGATGGGCAAATGATAGTATCTACCTTATATGACAAATATACACACATATATTTGTATGTATACATACACATATATATTATATGTAATATTATTTTTATAGAAAATTTGGAATAGCGGATTTCACATAGAAGGTACTGTCACTAGTGTTGCAAGGATCTCTGTCCAGTGTCCCTAAGACTCATTCTTAAATATCATTAAACTTCATTCCTTTGCTGATGCACTGAAAATATGAACCCTAATTTCACTCTTTGCTTTTACTGTTTTGCCATTTGATCTGCCATAACCTGTTTCCACCATCACCCATACCCTCATTTCCCAGGTCTTATCTTTATTCCTAGCCCACCTCTTACCACCCCAACCCCTAACTGAAATTCTAATGTGACATCCCATATGCCCTCCGATACCTAAGATATTTGGAAGTTTCTCTTTATATTTAATCCCTAAGCCTTGTGCTGAAATTGACATTCATTTATTATTGTTCACCCGGAAAGAAAATCACTACTCTCTATCCATTCTGTAATTATACCTGTGATATAGTGCTCTCTAGGTGGTTAACAGTGAATAAATGTCTTAATTTCTCTTGATCAAGCAGAGAGCCCTCAGTAATCTAAGTGCTTTTGCAGTAGGAGATTTTTTCACAGTTGTTTAGGTCTCTTAATTGAAATTACTAAACTCAAACTACCTCCATAGTAGGAAATAGATTGTGCTCTAATGTTTTGAGCTCCTTGACAAATGGGCAGCAGAAATAGAATTCTTAGCACTTAGCCTATTGCCTGACCATGTTAGGTACTTAATAAATGTTTATTGAGTTATATTATATGTCATGGGAAAATGATCTGGGAAACTCTAGGATGCAAAAGAGACTCATCTGAAAAGGAGCTAGATGAGTTAAAATCTTATTTTGAAGCTCTTGTTTGTGTTATAGGTACAGTAATAGATCTGGAAAACAAAAGTGGTATCAGCTAGTCTTTTCCCTTGTAGAACTCACTGTCTAGATTCATAGGCAGTTCTAAAACTCACTCACAACACACAAACGCACATGTACACCAAAACCACACACAGCACAACACCATCACAAAACATCTTGCCAAGGGTATGAAACATGTTGCACTTAGGAAATGTGGGAAGAAAATGCTATGAAGAAGGAATTTAATAATTTACCTCCTATGAGCACTAACCAAGGACAAAGACCAGTCTCTTACGAAGGCTCTACTTTACCCTTCTCTCCATGTAGGCTGAGTTCCTCTGGTTATTTCTTATCCGATAAACACTTCAATTTCCATCAAAATTTTCAAAGAGCTATCAGTGCAGTAAAGCATTTCCTTTTGGACATATTTGTTTTACTTTTGAATAAAAGGAACTCCAGATCTTGCAGTGCTTTGAAAAAAAACCATAAAGGTTACTGAAATTAGGCCAGATTTTTCTGAAACATGTTTTTCAGAGCAATAGTCCCATAAGATAGTCTTGGGAAAAGAATTTCGTAATCAAATAAGTTTCAGAAACACTGTATCCTATGTCCCTATCTTGGAGCTTGAGAGCGAACTTAGGCATATTGAAGTATCTGAGAATATTCTTAACAAAGAAACATGTATAAGAGGAGTTGGCCAAATGATTCTCAAAGTTATCAGAGCACAGGACTCCCTTTATTCCCCCTCCTTCTATTTGTAGTTGGGGTAACACTGGTATTTTGAGAATCATCTTGCATTAAGCTGAGCTTATACTAATTCTGTGAAGCTCGAATGATGAGATTATACATTTTTTCATATTACCCGTAGAAGATTCTAGAGTAGGCATTTAGATTCTTAAAGAATCTTCTCTTGTATTTGGTACTAGGAAAGCTGACTAGCTGGCACCTATATGAAATATAAAAATATTTCTTTTATTATTATTATTTATTATTATTATTTAATCAGCTCCTCTGTGTGAAGAGTGATGTCATTTAAATCCTCTCCCTGTGTAGTCTGAATGCTGAAATGCTGAAGAGAGAATGTAACCATGATTAGATAAGTGAAAACAGGCACAGCACACAAGGAGACTCCTCTCTTCCATCAGATTGTCTGTTCGCTTGACATTTACACCTTGAAAGACTGCAGGAGTACCATAGGGAATGCTATCTTTGAAAAAACAAAAGCTATTTCAACCATCTGTACATCCAGTGAGGCTGGTTTTAACTTGTCCAAATGCTCTAGCTAGAATCCAAACCTGCAGCTTACTGGGGAATCAACAGCCAGTGTCAGACCCAAATTAAATGCTATTGCTGTTGGCTTCTTGAGTCATCATTTTAAGTCTCATTGCACCACTCAAACCAAAAGAGACATTTTTGCTAGCTTACTTAAAAAAATATCTTACTTCTCTACTTCATAATGTTGTATTCACCACTCTCTTTTCTATTTAAATAGGATACATCCTTCCCCTTTTTTAATTGAGAAATAAATAAGAAACTTCTGGCCTTTTATATTCCTCAGTTTCTGATAAAAAGGACTTTCTCAAAGGTCATTGAGAAAGACTTTTTGGATAACATATTCAAGGACAAAATGAAAATAAGAAGAGAAAAAATTGCTAAGGTGACTCCTGTTCTTTTGATTGTTATAGAGACCTCTATTGTTCCATTTTGTTTTCCTCTTCGCAAAAAGAAGGTGAAGCTTTGACATTTTATTCTAGAATCATGCTGCTAAAGTTAAATATTAGATGGTTCTAAAGGCTTAAGAGTATATTTTAATGGTTGAAGACAAAAACCAGCCAATTTGTGACAGTCAAGATAAGGAGAAACAAAAGGAATTGACAGCACAAAAGATTCAAAATGCAAATTCTTTTTTTAATAAATAATTCTAAACTTTCTCTTCATTTTTCTCCACCAGGAATGCTCCTGCTGCCAGTTAGAATACAAAAAAACAGAATGAGTTTTGTTCCAATTGTAGCAACAAGAAAAACAGACAAAATAAATTAAAATCATACCTTTCTATGAAAGTAGAGAAGAGTGGTGGATTTGAAGAAGCTCACTGAACTGAATTCCACAGAGAAACTCTTCAGAGAAGAGAAGAGAGCAGCAGCCACGTCCATCTGGGAGTCATTGCCGGGTTTGGACTCAGACCACGATGCCAGGACTGAGGACAGTAAGCACTGGTGGAATGAACTGTATGGAAAAATCCTAACTCAGCTAGCAATTATGCCTCTTCACCCCCTGCCCCCGCCGCCCTTGAGTTTAACTGAGAAAGAAACAGTGAGTAAATTCCTAGTAACTAAAGAGAAGTCACCTTGTCTCAGTCATTTTCCAAATGATTGGATTCCAAGACTTTTTGGAATTGAAGCCAGTAGTGAGGTAAACCTACATGAAACTTTAGCTAAGGCTTCCAGCTTGAATACAGACACCATCAAAAGCTAGCAGAACAGAGCAGAGATCAGAATAGAGTCAAGAAATAGACCCATACTTATATGACCCATTGGTTTCAACAAAAGTGCCAATGCAATTCAAAGGGGAAAGGAAAATATCTTTAAGAAATGTTGGAAAAGCTTGATATTCATATGGAAAGAAATGAACTGACCCTTGTCATACACAAACACAGAAATGAATTTGAGATAGAGCATAGCCTTAATGTAAGAGTTAAAATCGTGTAACTTCTAAAAGAAAGATAGCTGATGTAGCAGGCTGGCTCTAACCTGTCATCCCTTACAGTTGTCACACCTGCCATAGGACAGACATTGCAACCATGTCCCCACTAGCTTTAGCCTCTTATCAGTGACAAGCCCTCACACCTAACCGCGCATGCATGGACTGAACCCCGCAGGTTACCCCTGTGCAGTAGCTACGTACAGAAGCCAAGGCTGGGCAAGGGTAAGACCTCATCTTTCTTCAGGGAGACCATTCAGGAGACCAGAGAAATGGCCTTGGGGCTCTTGAGAGCCAAGACAGAAGGGGCATTTGTGTCGTTCCATGATGTGGCTGTGGACTTTACCCAGGAAGAGTGGTGGCTGTTGAACCGTGCTCAGAGGATCCTGTATAGGGATGTGATGCTGACTACAGCAACCTGGTCTTCTTGCGAATTCCATTTTCCAAACCAACACTTGTCATTCTGCTGGAGCAGGGGGCAGAGCGCTGGAGAGAGGAGAAGGAACATATGCTCAGCCCCTGTTCAGCAGATCCAAAGCTGGAAATGCAGGCTTATTCCTCCCCCACTCTGGACCACTGCAGTCAGCAATTATGCCAACAGGTGTTCCATGATCATCACCTTCCAGTCTGCCCAGGCTTGTTTGCAGGAAATCTCCAAATAGCGGACCTCTGCCCAGTATATCAGAAGGAGCAGCAATTGCAACCACTCTCTTATGGAAGCTTCTGGAGGGACAGAGTGGAAGGCGAGGTCAGAGAAGGGAGCTCCGAGTCCTGGTTTGGGAGGACAAGGGAGAGCATTACTTCAAGACCTTTCTCTAGCCCACCTGAAGGACAGCTAATCAGCTCATGTGAAGGCAAAACAGTGGTGGAAATAGGGTTCAGCTCAGCTGAGAAGACAAACTCTTTCCAAAAAGACAAATTATTAAAGTGGTCAATTGTGGAAATTATGGGCTAGGCCTTAGCCAGAGGTCAGCCCTCTTCATTCATCAGAGGGACGGCTCAGGAGGAAAGCCTTATTTTTGCAGTGAGTGTAGCTGAAGCTTTCGCTGTAAATCAGCTCTCATCACACACAGGAGGTCACACACGGGGGAGAAGCCTCACCTCTGCACAGAGTGCGGCCAGGCCTTCAGCCAGAAGTCAAACCTGGTCACACACCGGATGGCACACTCTGGGGAGAAGCCTTTCACGTGTGAGGAGTGTGGGCGAAGCTTTAGCCAGAAGTCAACGCTCATCAGACACCTCAGGACCCACTTAGGGGACAAGCCCTTTGGGTGCTGGGAGTGTGGGCGAGGCTTCAGGGATAAGTCAAACCTCATCACACACCAGAGGACCCACTCATGGGAGAAGCCTTATGTATGTGGGGACTGTGGGAGGCTTTTTAGAGAGAAATCAACTCTCTGCAAACACCAGAGGCTTCATTCAGAGGAGAATCCTCATTTGTGTAATGACTGTGGCCACAGCTTTAGTCAGAAGTCATACCTCATGAAGCACAAGAGGACACACTCGGGAGAGAAGCCTCTTGTGTGCCCGGAGTGTGGACAAGGCTTTACTGATAAGTCAAATCTTACCACACACCGGAGGACACACTCAGGGGAGAGTCCCTATATTTGTGCGGAATGTGGACGAGGCTCTAATGTTAAGTCAGCTCTCATTACACACCAGAGGACACACTCGGGAGAGAAGCCTTATGTGTGCCAAGAATGTGGGCAAGGCTTTAGACAGAAGTCCACTCTTGTTGCCCATCAGAGGACACACTCAGGAGAGAAGCCTTTTGTGTGCAGGGAGTGTGGGCCAGGCTTCAGACAGAAGTCACACCTCATCAGTCATCAGAGGACACACTCTGGGGAGAAGGCTTATGTGTGCACTGAGTGCGGGCACGGCTTTAGCCAGAAGGCAAATCTGGTCAGGCACAAGATGGGCCACTCAAGGGAGAAGCCCTTTGTATGCAGGGAGTGTGGGCGAGGCTTCAGCCAGAAGGCGGCCCTCATAAGATGTGAGAGGACACATTCAAGGGAGAAACCTGTGTGCAGGGAGTGTGAGCGGAACTTTAGCGATAAGCTGACCCTCAGCACACATCAGAGAGCATACTCAGGGGAAACGCCTTCTACTAGCAGTAAGTGTGGGGAAGGCTTTAGCTGAAATCACTCCTTTTTAGGCACCAGAGGACACACTTGGTGTAGAGAAGCTTTACGCACAGGGAGTGTAGGCGAGGCTTTAGCAGTAAATCATACCTCATCACGCAAAAAAGGACAACTTTAGGGGAAATCTCGTGTGTGCAGCAGATGGACTTCAGAGAGAACTCTCACAGAGGACAAGAGAAGAGCTATCTGTGTAAAGCAGTAGTTCTCAACTAGAAGCAGCTTTACACCCCGCCACCAGGTGACATTTGGTGACGTCTAGAGACATTTTCATGTCACAACTGGGAGACTGCCACTAGCATCTAGTAGGTGGAGGCCAAGGATGCTGCTAAACATTCCATGACGCACAGGACAGCCCCCACAACAAAGAGTTATCCGACCCCATGAGACTTGGACCCTCTAAGACCAGCTTTGGCTCCAGGGCCCTCGCTCTGCGTTGGCAGGAGTTTTCTCAGACTGTGCTGCAGCTGAGAGGCTCTCACCCATCCATCCTTCCTCCCCGCCCCCCTCACATCTACATTTGATGCCTCTCCCTGCCTTCTCTGACTTCCTTCCTGTTTTTTTCTCAGTATGATTTTCTCGAGAGTCTCTTGCATGTCTGATCCTGTCTTCTTTCTCAGAACACTCCAACTAACACAGTTACAAAGAGAAAATGAGAACTTTGCAGTGAAGCAACTTGGCCTACGTCACCTTAACAAAGTTAGCCGCTGATGTTGGGACAGGGTGACGCAATAGGTCACCTGGTGGGATTCAAGGAAAAGGAACACTTGTCAGGTGTTGGGTTTTTTTTAAGGTTCCTGCCAAAAAATGTGTAACCTAAGTCTTATCATGAGAACTCATTGGACAAAGCTAAATTAAAAATATTCTATAAAACAACTACCCTGTACTTTTCAAAAATATCCAGGCCAAGAAAGACCGATAAACTTTTTTAGATTAAAGGAGACTCTGAAGACATGACAACTTAATACAATGCTTGATGGAGGATTGGATTCTGGGTAGGTAAGAATATAGTCATAAAATGCTAGGGATCACAGAATAGTGTTTAACCGATGTTAAATCAATGAGAAATGCAGCGTAGTGTGGTCATGAAAATCTTATCTTTGCTCTGGAAATATGCAGATGAGGTTTTAGGGCTAGAGGGACATGATGACGCTAACTTATTCACAAATTATTCAGAAAAAAAATCTTCTCAAAGTGTTCATAGAAAACAAAGTGCGTATATAAAATATAAATACATTTTCCGGGGGTGTGAGAAGGAGAGAAGGAGAGAGAGAGAGAGAGTCACTGTTGGTAAATCCAGTTAAAAGGTATATGAGAGTGCCTTTTACTTTTCTTTCAACTTTCCTCTAGGTGTGATATTATATCAAAATAAAAACACGGGCAAAAAAGGAAAAAAAATAAGAAAGATAAGATAAGACGCTCCAGCGATGTTGGGTTTGTTGGTGGTTGGAATAATTACAGTTAAAATTGGACCTGCGACACCAGCCGGTCTCAGCTCCTGGAAAAATTAGGAAGATTGGCTCATATTCCGTCAGAAAAGGGCTTGCACTCTCTGTGACATAGCCATACATTACTCTCCAACTGGTTCTTTTAAGATACACAGCGCTCTGAATATAATTCACAATTACCAGATATGGAATAAAGTAGGAAAATGTAACCTTACTCAAAAGAACGTAATAGAAGTAGACCAACAACTCGCCCAGTTATTGGAAACAGCAGCAAAGGCTTTAAATCGATTATCACCACTATTTTAAAGAGTTCAGAAGAAAATTGGTAGGATATTTCAAAGAGAAAATCAAAACTCCAAGAAAAGAACCAAGTATGAATACTGATATTAAAATATGCAATTTTTCTCCAGACCTACGGATGCGGTAAAATTAACTGCCATTTTCCTGCCATTTCTTTCAGAAATAACTTTCATGGAGTTTGAAATGAGTGATTTAAATGAACCTAGAAATAGCATTAGAGGGGAACTACGGCTTTGCAAGTTACTCATCTCCTCCTTCTTTAGTACTGGAGAACCAGTCACTAAACCCTGATCTAGTCAACCACGTTGTGAAGAGGCACCAAATTTAAAATTTGTTTCTCATATTTTGGACTCTAAATAAAAATTACGCTACTCCTCTCAACTCTGCCACCTGCTTCCAGAGCGGATATGTTTCTATGATTCTTGTTTAGAAATGTTTTTATTTCCAAATTTTAAACAGATTATTTGCTTTCTCTGAACGCATCTGCCTAAGTAGTTTTATTTTTGATTAATATGTTTTTAAAAACTTATGTTATCTTCTAAACTGAGCAAGAATCTTCTGTCTCTCTTTTTCTGTCTCTCTTTTGTTCTCTCTTTCTCTGTCTCCATCTGTCTCCCTCTCTCTAATGTATTTAGACCAACTCTGTCTCCTAATTTAAGAAATATAACATCTTAGTTTTTGTGACTTCAATTTCAAAGGAGCAATAGCTATTAAAAGTCATAAATTTTCATGGCTGATCTATTTTCATTAATCAATATTCCCATATTAAATTAGGCAGTAAAACAATGGACTGTCCAGATGTGATCCACTTAGTGTTGGCATTAAAATGGATGAAATTTCCAGGGAATGATGAGCTCTGTATAGAAAATGATCCTGCAATGGATATAATACAATAAGGATGTTTTGGGCAACTATGATTTGTATTCCTTTTCTACTTTTCTTTGACATCAGAGAATGATCTGAATCAATTTCAGTTCACTGTAGTATAAAACAAATAACATTTATCACTTTGGGGTTATTAAAATTTATCTATTTTCTACATTGGCAGATGGATGAGCTTATATGATTTTATTTATTTATTTTTTTGTATACCTCAAATAAACCTTTCTGAAACTTAAGGGGTTTTACTTGTCATTTTACACACACACACACCAACCACAAAACCTATGATTTCACACAAGATCCTTATTGAGAATACTTTCCTTGGAAAATTTTGGCACAAAATAAGCAGTAATACCTAAGGATTTATTCTTGTAAAATTTACATTATAATTCAATTTGTGTAATATTGCACTTCTCTAGAATCTCTGCTCAAGATCAAATACACACCTCCTTATGATTCTAACGTTTGGAATAAAAACCCAAATGTGAAAGGAGAGAGTGATAGGTGTTAATGTGGAATTGTGTACATGAGAAGTGGGTATAACTTTGTCCACAATATCTCCTTGTCAAATTTTTCTCTCTGGAGACTCCTCCAGCAAGAGCAGAAGGAATCTGGATAGAGAAATTTCTTTCCACGCGTTTGGTCCTCAGAGAACATTTTGATGGATTCCCCATTTATGAAATCTAGATTGAGGGGCAAGATCAGCTGTCAACTTCAGGATGACAGCTACAATATACAATTGTAGGAAGCCCACAGGAAAATATTTAGAATGACTAAAGGAAGCTGCCTTTCTGGGTTGAGCGAGTAGAAATTGATACATTTGGATATTGATGGAGCCAATTACCTCCTACTTCCCTCATCTTCTTAAGCCCAGGGAGCTCAGCCATGACTGCTGCTTCTCTGCAGTATCCTTGGCAAATAAAGACAAATAAACTGTCTTAGTAGTGAAGATAACCCTTCCAAAGGCAGTGGGAAGAGTCGTAGGTGTCTTTGTTCAAATTCCGGCTCTGCCTTTTAATTTGCTCCATGCACTAGGACAACATTGGCTATCTCTAAAAGCTTAATTTTCTCATCTGCAGTGTTGTTAAGATTAAATGATACTATATAAACTAGGATTATGATAAGTAGTCATTTCAAAAGTCCTCTTTTACCCCAGCTGCCCCCTGCTTAATTGGTCTCCCTCATTCAAATTAGTCAGAAACCTAACAAGTCCAGGGCAGCTGCAGCTTCAGTTCGTTTTATGACCTTGATCAAGTCGTGGAGCTTCTCAGAGCTTCTGTCTTGCCATCTGCAAAACCAAGATAACCATACTTGACACCTGCTTACCGTGCTGTGAAGATGAATGTAGCAACATCCACAAAGCAGGCCACACTCTGGGGGAAGCCGAGTGCCACTTGCAATACAAATAACAGCAAGAATAACATTAAAAAATATTTATTTCCCAAGTACTCTCTAAAGAGATTTGGACATCTGTTGCCCAGGACATATTCGCCTTTAATTAAAAACAAATACCTGCCAGTTTTCATTAAAGTCTATTTTAGCAAATTGTTACTGACCTGTAATATACCTATCGAGTCCCTTGCAGGTAAACAAAGAGCCGTTGGGAAAAAGCACTGTGCCATGCTGGCAGGAAATGGAAAACCGCACCGGGGCACATTCCATGCACAGTCACCATCCAGCCAACAGCACTGCTCACTGGGATTCTAGAAACCTTGCCCAGGGCAAACATTAAGCATTTTAATTGGGAGATTTTGCCAGGATTTTTGATTACACCCTGCCTGACAGTAGTATCTGCCAAAGATATATGGTGCCATAAATCTCCCAGTGTTACATTTTAACACATCTATTGTTGTCTTGGCTCTTAGTAATATCTGTGGGACCTTTTTGCACTTAATTTGAGGTTTTGATTTCTCATCATACCTCTTGGAAAAGTACTGTCAACATTAGATTGTTTTTTAAAGCAATTGTTTAAGAGATGAGCAAAACAATGTGTGCAAAAGCATGATAAGTGTTTAATAAGGAAGCCAGTCTGTTTTATGATGTCTTTCATTTTAAAAATGCCTCAGTTATCATTGTCTAGATATGCCTTTCCACAGATGGCTTTTAAAATTATATCTGGACGTCTTTCTCCTAGCCAGACTTGGCACCTGCACATGTTCTTCTGAATGCTAAAGGAGTCAATGAGGCTCATTTAGAGCACAGTCTGTATATGCAGGGGGAGTATGCTGGAAGAAAAATTTTATCTGAGTGTCATTCTCTGGATTGAGAGAGTGAGCGTAATATAAATGACCTACCAGATATGTCGGTGGGCCAGTTATCACCTAGTGTGTAAAGAGAGAAAATATTTCTTTTAAAACTCAGGGCCAAATCATAATAGGAGTAGAGAAAGAGAGAAAATTATATAGAGAGAGTAAAATATCTTTCCAGAGAATTCTTTGTGCTTTTAAGAATAGAAGTCATTGAAGATATACATCAGTGATGCTCAAAATCAAACAATGCCTATTCTTCAGTTTTCTGCTGACATGAATGGACTTTTAACATTTTCTCTGTAAGATTTGAATGTTGCTTTAAAATAGAATGATTTACCAAAGGCTCTGTTTTTCTTGCATAAGAAAACAAATTAAAAGGATAAGAGAATAGATGGGATTCTTGTTTATAAGGCTGAGCATATTCAGAAGTTTAAATGCTAGCTCACACTTGGTATATCTCAGGGGGACAATGGTGATGGTCCCCAGTAGGACTCAGCTTCTGTCCTGCCCCCCCTCCATCCTCCACAGAACTGTTAGGCTGATCTTCCTAAAACATGCAGACTCCCAATTGTTTTACAAGTAAGTATATTAAGGCCTTCCACAATCTCGTCCCAGTTGATTTTATGATCTCGCCCCACTGCTCCCTTATACATGGTTGACTTTCCAGTCTAAATGACCTACTAATTAAATTATCCTCATGCTTTCTGACTTCCATCTTTTGCTCACATTTCTTATGGCCAGGACAAAGTTTTATCTTCTCTGTTTTCCAGTGTAATGTGCATTATTTCTCTTCTAACTGTTACTCTGATTACTTCTGCCCTTTAAGCCATAACTAATTTTATTCTCTTCAGAACTCCCATAGCAATGTATCTGGATCTTTCATATGGTGTTTCATCACAACCTCTATTATGCATTGAACCATTCTATGTAGATGCCTCATATCCTCCGTTAGGCCTGACATTTCGTTCCATATTTCACATAATCTCTCTGAGATCAGCATTCAATTTGTGATTGTATCAGCTCCGTACACCTACCTCCGAGAGTACATTGCATTTAATGAAAACTCTGTAACTCATTGAATAAATAAAAAAAGAATATTTTTATCTTAAATTCATCAATTCTTCTTTCACTTGGTACAATTTAATATTTTATTTTGTTTACATTTTTTTCACTTGTTTTATTGAAAATGGCGAAGTTGCTTCAGAGCCCAGAAAGAGGAGATAAAAGAAAAAATGTCCTAAACAAAGTACAGAAGGCTAGAAAAGCAGGCCTCAGAATCATCAGAATCAAGGCATTAAGGGAAAGCGACCTAAATAGCAATTTCACAGCAGAAAGAATCCAGTTAAGATATTCACATTCAGAAGAAATGGATCCCAAACCACTTTCTACTGATTTGTCAAATGCTGAGAAAGGGGCATCTAATGGGTTGAATTGGTCACACTAGCCTTGCTGAACTCAATGCAACTACTATTTTCAGTCTATATCTGAAAGATTTCTTCCAGTAGTAAAGACAGAGTTGCAGTGAAATAAACGAGAAGGCTATGAGGAAAGAAAATAGAGGCCATCAAAACAGGCGCACCTCTGCTATGGAGGATTCATTGTGTGGGGACACTGGGTCAAGTTGGGGGTAATTATTATGTTTTATAATCTATAATTAATTAACTCGTTCTTCAAGTGTTTCATTATACTGCATTGTGATGCATTAGACTAGGACTGTGTCTACTTCACAAAGGGAATATCTTGCAGTTTTCCATACGTTTGCCGCAGAATGACTTTATTCAAAAACCTCCAGATATGACATAACACCACTTAATTTTCTATAATCAGATTCCTGGGTCAGCATACACTCAGAGTTATCAAACGTTCTGACTCTTGTATAGTACGCTGGATGGTATGGTTCTAAACATCTTGAGCACAGGCAGATTTGAGGATGTAAATGGTAACTGACTCAAGAAGTGGGTGTGACACGATGTGCTCTAAAGGGAGTGATTTCTTCTGTTGACAGAAAGTTCGGATCGGGTCAAAGCAGTAGACACTACATGAGCTCCAGGACTTACAGGGCTTTGTGGCAATAAATCTTATGTCGTATAAAGCAGAAGAGCAGTATTTTTCCTGCAATATCTACTTGGACAGCCCTCCCCACTGCCTTTACTTCAGAGAGCAGTTCAGACTGTAAGAAAGGGGGTCGACTCATTCATCGCCTGGCTAACAAACATTCACCAAGTGTCCACTCCTTGTCTTGTAGGGACAGGATTGGGCCAGATCCTGAGAGAAAAATGAACATCAGTTCGGGGCTGGCCCTGTGGCCAAATGGTTAAGTTCGCACGCTCCGCTGCAGGCGGCCCAGTGTTTCGTTGGTTCGCATCCTGGGTGCGGACATGGCACTGCTCATCAAACCATGCTGAGGCAGCGTCCCACATGCCACAACTAGAAGGACCCACAACGAAGAATATACAACTATGTACCAGGGGGTTTTGGAGAGAAAAAGGAAAAAATAAAATCTTTAAAAAAAAAAATGAACATCAGTTTTTGATGAGACTACATTGGTGATTTCAGGTATTGTAATAAGGGCCCATTATTTGCAGTGATTTATGAGAACCCAGAGGAGGGCTCCCAAGAAGTAAAAGAGAAGTCGAGTGTGGCATAAATGACTTGTAGAGAAGAGGATGCTTGTGTAACATATTTAAGCAGGTTTCGGAATAATTCAGATGAAGAAGGTATGGACGCAGGCAGGGTTGGGAAGAGGTGAGGATGTATAGACTAGAAGTTGAAGGTACAGGTCTCTCATTTGTTGGTAGGATGAAAAACAAATTCTGCCACATTATTCCTGAAAATAGCTAAAGCCAATGAGGATCTCTTTTTCTTATTTATTTATTTTATCTTATTATTATTTTTTTTTTTTGAGGAAGATTAGCCCTGCACCAACATCTGCCACCAATCCTCCTTTTGTTTGCTGAGGAAGATTGGCCCTGAAATAACACCCATGC